TTTTGCAGAAGGCAACGCTAACATTTGACACTCAGGAAATTTCAAATTTTAAGCTTACTGTATTTGTGATAGCCTGCTATTACAAATAATGTAAAAGACAGCTTTCAATCTCTGCCTTGTCTTTATGTTTGTGTGTCTGACTTTGTCTTTTCCAAGTGGAAGCGAAGATCTGTCACGTTTGTATCCATGTCCATGATTTAAATTTATAGTGTTTAAATTTTGAAAGCCTGGAGATCTTGAAATTTAGTATTTTGCAATTAAACTTAACAAGTTAGCCCATGCTTGCAAAACAAAGAAAAAGATCTATTTCATATTGTATTGACACTGAAATGCAATGAGTTTGTGTAAGGGATGTGAATCAATCTGCCTAAATATTTACTGCTTTAATGCTCCCTGAATTTATGGGTGTGCATATTGAAATGAGGTAATTATTTTAACTAACACCTATGCGTTTTTAGCTAAAGAGGCTGTGAAATTACATTTCCTTAAATCATCACTAGGTTGGTTTGTATGGGTTGAGTACACAGCAGAGGCTGCCAGAGGGCAGAGGCAGCAGTAAGGAAGCAAATACCAGTCTTGTCTTTCTGTTCTGCTGTTATGGGGAGGGGAAGGCAGGGTGATGAATTTCACGCTGCCATGAATACTTGATTGGAGTGTTCTGTAAGGTGGATTATTTGAGTTTCAATCCCTGCAGCTTGTGAAGATCATAGGCTGTACCACAGAAATGTAGGCTGAGAGGGACCTCTGAAGGTCCTCTAGTCCAACCTCCTGCTCAAAGCAGTGCTGACTTCTACATTGCATAAGATTGTCCAGGCCCTTGGTTAAACTAGCTTTGAAAATCACCAAGGATGGAGATTCCACAGCCTCTCTTAAGCAACTTCTTCCTTTTATTATGAAGAATATTTCTTTATAGCTAACTGGCATTTCCTTTACTGCCATTTCTGACTATTGCGTGCTGTCCTTTCATGGTGCGCCTCTGGAACAGGTCTAGCTCTGCAAGCCCCCTTCAGGCAGCAGAAGACAACAGTTAGCTCTCCCCTTTTGCAAGCAGAAAAAAGTCTGTTCCTCCACTGGACTTTTCCGTTTTGAGTATATTTCTTGTGTGGTTTGTGGGGCCCAAAGCTAGTCTTGGTATTCCAGAGGTATCCTTATGATGCCGAGTAGAAAGAAATAACCACTTCTTTTGCCTGCTGGCTATGCTGTTGCTAATGCAGGTGGGTATGTGGTTTGCCTGCATTGCTGCAAGGACATACTGCTGACTCATGTTCAGGTTCTCCCTCAGATCATTTTCTACAGAGCAGCAATATCGACAGACAGTTCCCAGCCTATTGCAATGCATGAGCTTATTCCCTCCCACATACATGGGTGTATTTGTCTCAGATACAAGAAAACTTTTGGTTATTCTGGCTTAAGTAGATTCACAGTTAAATTGCCATATTCTTTAAGAAAGAGAAAAACATCAAAACTTAAACTGACATCATTATAAACATTAATTTACTTCCTGTTGAGGATTTCACACTTCTTAGAATTACAAGTGTATCATAGCAAAGAGATTTTTACACAAAAAGTGTTGATAGCAATTGATTTTGGCTATGTGGCCAGGCAATAAAAAGGGCCCTTGGAGTGTGCAACCTTGTACAGCAAACTATAAATATTAGGTATTCTGCACTATTTGGATAGAAATATACCATGGCTAAAGCATCCCATTTGATGTAAACAATGAATTCTTACAAAGAGTTGCTACAGGTGTCAAAAAAATAATTCACTGTTAGCACTATTACAAGGGCTTAATTAATTAATTCACTGTTGCCACAGTTATCAAGGAAAGATTATGAATACCAAGTGGATTTTTTTTAACTAATCATACTCTCAGGTGGTTAGCTGTAGCCAGATCCAAGCATGTAAGTTCTCAGACCTGGAGTTCTCGGACCTCCTCTCCTGGCAGAGGAGGCTTCCTCCTTCCACTGTGTTTCTTGGCAGAATCCTATTATGCAGCCTCCTAGACAGCATCAATAGAAAGTTGTGCTGCTTGGAATTCATATTAATGTGATTATCCTATAACTGAAGTAGGGATTAAAAGATCTTCTATATGTGTTTTTTTATATTATTTATCTGCATCCATTTATCTCAGCAGTGAATTTATCATGACTGGACTGACATGTCCTTCGCTGTAAATTAATACAATGGCATTTGTACTTTGAGATAAGGGCACGCTAACAGATGGATGAAAAGAAACTAAGTTTCCTTTGAATATATGACAGTTTTTCAGTCAGCTATTTAAAAACAGATGAGGGACAAATTCTACCCTGGTTATGATCTTGCTGTATGATAATTTCAACAAGGTCACAAGACTTTCCTCTGTGTGTGTGGAGGGGGAACTGTTTTCATACAGAATATTAGTCCTGAAAGAAATAAGCATTCTATTTACACATATAGAAGAGGTTTCAAGTCTTCCAGGAAATCGGTTTGAAAACTATTTACAGTATTAGTATGCAAATTATATACTACACACTAAATAGGAATCTTGCAGCAGAGCACTCTGACAGGCATCTCACTATTTGAACTATGGTAGTCCAGTTAAAAAAGCAACAAAAAAAGAAAACACAGCTGGATGTAATTGTAGCCAAACACATACTTATTATGTTAATGAGGGCATACGAATAGAATGAAATGTTGTCCAGCAAAGGTTTCCCACAAAGGCTCTGAGTTATTTTAGCAAAATGTTCAAATAATGCAAGCTTTTGTTTTTGTTTTAATTGAAAAGATGTTCGATATTTATTCCTAAAAATTGATAGATGAAGTGTGGCAGCACCAGAGAAACAATAAATCCCATCTCATAGCAAGTATCATTTTAATAAATATTCTTCAGTTGAGAAGAAAACATGAGTTGTGTCCCCGATTACATAGGTCCTTCCACCGATATAATTTATATCAAATTATGAGAACGGTATTGTATGGTGGTAGTGACATATGTCGTAAACTCCTATTGTCACCCCAGGCTGTCACAGTAGTGATACACCCTTTAGCTGTCTTCCCTTTTGCACCGAAGCTTCCGGAGGCTTCCCTGCCCGTACCTTCCCGCTGCTGCTCTCCTGTCGGCTTCCCTTCAGTCACACCTCGGTCCAGTTTCTGCCCTCACAGCCTCTCGTGAGTGCCGGTGCTGAAGTATGCCGCAGCAGCTTTACTTCAGCGTGAGAGGTTTTAAACAGCCAGGTGTCAGTAAGAATCCACCAGATGCTGTAGAAGGTCAGTACTGGGTTGGGTCTCTTTCCAACCAGCAAAAGCTTCGCCCTTGTTTCACTCCTAAAAATCTCCCAGGATTTCTTGTTGTGTCCCTCGCATCAATCTGCACAGCTCTGGCACGTAAGTTACCTGGGCAAGGTGCTAGATCTGTTCACACCAATTTACTCTGGTGGACTGGAAATCTTTGAAAATAAGAAGCTTCACATGAGGTTCATGCCCTTTTTTGTTTTGCTTTTGGTTTTTTTTTCCTCTCCATTTTTAGGACATGCTTTTAACAAACCATAACTGAAAACTAAACAAATAACAGTTCGTGGCTTATGTAAGTGTGCCTGCTATTCAAATGGCTGCATTCAAGGGCTGTAGATATTGTTAAAGCCCATGTCGTCTTCACTGCCGGCTGCTGCCATAATCCTAAAGTAGATGCATCGTTTTCTTTTTAACTTTATATCTCAGTACACTGCCCCGTGAAATTGCTTTCTGCCTTTAAATTGACCATCATGCAGAATTTTGTATTTTTCAACCTGTCATTGGCTTTGAGAGTTACAAGTTATTCTGAGTTAAAAAACTACCATTTTTGTTCACAAGCACAAAGTGTGCCTTCCCAAATCTAGCTCAATAGGCATGTCAGATGCAGTCTTGAGAATATTTCTAAGTGCCTATTTTTATTCTTAGTGATAAGGAACTGTTTGTACTGCAAATGTATTATGATCAAACGCACATTAAGGTATTACTTTAAAATAAAAACTTATTTATTAATTTAAAAATCATACTGGATAAAAAAATCAGTCTGTTATTTAAAATAAGGCAGAGGCAAAGTACCATTGGCCTGTTTAATGAAATGTATTTGTTTCTTGGCTCTGCTTACATAAGAAACATTTAAAATTTTTGTCTGTGAAGATTTACAGCCATATCAAGCATTTTACATTATGATAAGAAGACAAAGCTTGTATCATTAGTGTGATAGTCCAGCTTGGTTGTCTGGCAAGTAAATTCTACATCTAGCTACTCCCATTAAAAAAACCCAACCTACTTTCACTAAAAACCTGCTCCCGCTAGAGAGCAGATTTTGTACTTCCCGCTCCCAGTGGCAAATGTAATCCCTCTAAAATCAATAGGTAAAACTCACCTGAGAGCGTAACACTTACTATTGGTTGTTTGCAGCAATGGGTAAAGAACAGATTTCTGCAGGGAGTTCGTACTTAGAGGGAAGTGTCAAAGGAAGATGAATTAGGATAAACTAGAGGACTTGTGTCCTTTGGGAGGCTACACAGTTGTGAGAACGAATCTTTGAAGGCCAAATCAGATGTGTTGAGAGTCATTCTGTTTAGACTGCCAATCTTCTGGTTAGGCTGCCAATAGCAATTTAATTTGAATTAGTACCTGTCTGTGCTGCAAGTGTGTCTTATAATATGCATTTGGATATTTTCTGCTCCTCTGTACATTGCTTTCAGTACTTTCAGCATAAAGATATACAGTAAAACTTGTCCTAAAAACCATCATAGGGTCCAGCAAACAACGCTGAATGGCAAAAGAATCTCTCTTACAATAAGCCAGACAAAATGGCACTTGAGATGCTTCCTTAGACTCTATATTATTTAGGTTTTAGGGACTATTGCAAAAGGACTTTAAGTTATTATATGCCTCTAGTCATTTATTTTCTTAGCCTTACAAACTGAAGAGGGATATCTCAATGAAAATAGTATGGAGCTCCTTCACAGATTTTATCCTTGTGTTTTCCTTTCTTTTTCTTTTAATAGCCTGGATGTGTAAACACTACTGAAGTGGATATAAAAAAATCTTCAAGAATGAGAAATCCACATAAAACAAGAAAAGTAAGTATTGTTCTTGTATCAAAAAGAAGGAGGTGGAGGTAATTTATAGCATGAAGTTCTATAGTTTCTTAAAACAATTTTTTCTTGCAGCTGCAAAGAACAAGTACTTGAACATATGTTATTATTTCATAAGCTCTTAAATGAATTAGTATTAACAAATTTGCTAATACTAAGTAAATGCTATCACATAAGAAAGGCCTTGGAGAAATACACAGAGAATATGAAAATAAAATTCTTTTTTGTGTGCTTTATTCATGTTGTTTAGTAGATTGAATAAAGAATGTTAAAATGTTTCTGTCAGTAATTAAGGAAAAATAAATTAAAAATGTAGTGTTAACTATAACAGCAATTCTTCTTGTGCTGGTCTTAATGAAAAGGATGTCTTTAGTTTACAATTATGCCCCGAATGGATGACCAGAAATTGTGGAGGAAATTAGCTTCATCTAAATTAGGATCCAGACATGAACAGTGTAAATTCTCTAGGGATGTATAGATGGATTGGAAAAACACTTTCTTTCAAATCCTTTGTATCATAACAATGTAGATTGTCTCCAACGTTAAAGTAGTCCCTTTGAGGTATATTTTCATGTCAACCCATGGAAAAATATGTTTTAAAAAGGAAAGTGGATTTATAGAAAGTTTTAGCTTAGTTTATTTATGGTGATGAAGTCCAGATTAGCGTAATTTACCAAGCAGTAATTGCAAATTTGGGAGTCATTCAAATAATCCATTGCGATAGTCTACCTTTCAGGATACTGTTTCTTCTTTTCCTACCAGTCATCTCCACTTACTGTAATAGCTGCCTTTCAGTGTCATCCCCCATGTTTACTATGCTGTTAATAGAGAGACATAATAAAAATAGGTCCCGTGTTCTATGTTGTTATGAAATTGTGGGGTTTTGGGAGTCTTTGTTTTACACCATGGTATAGAAGCACAATTTTATCTGAGTGCATGGTTTATTTGCAGTTTCTTTTGAAAAAGATGATCTTGGCTAACTTCTCGAGCACACAGTACTAAAACATCACAGTTACTATGGGTTTGTGTCGAAAGCATTGTCTGAAAGCAACTATCATTGTTCCATATTTTTTGCGTAGTCTGTCTATGGCTTACAAAACGACATTCGAAGTCACAGCCCTACCCACACACCAGTACCAGAGACTAAGCCACCCACAGAAGATGAACTACACCAAGAGGTTTGAAAAATAACTACAAAAGCATACTTTTAAATGAACTTTTTAGGAAAATAGGTATTAAACCAAAAATTATTGTAACTGGGAAGTATGTTCAGAACAGATCTAGCGAATGTTTAGTAACCCTTTTCCTTGTTTCAGGATATATGAGACAAAACCTGACATTTTTGTATCTTGCATTAAACAGTTAAAGGCAGTTAGCAGCAGGCCAGTTAGTGGGTTCTTTCCATAGCTAAGCCCATCAGCTCCTTTAGCAGTAGACAGCTCGCTCTTCCTTTCAACACTGATTCCAGGTTTGGGGGTATACTTACCTTCCGTGTATGCACGTATGGGTTCACACATTTATCTACTGTTCACGCTTCATTAATCTTTCCTGAGGTGTTAGAACTGGGAGAAGGTAACTGTCTGAAGAATTAGTAGTTCTCTTCAAAAATCTAAAAAAAGGCTAATTGGATTTCTGTTGATGAACCGCTAGGGAAAATGTTATATTGGATCCTTTTTTTGTCTCCGTATGATCTTTTCTCTTTTACAGAAAATTCCATTTATTTTGGAACTACATTGGTGAAATGTTGTTTTAACTCAGATATATTTCTCTTCTGTGCCCTAGGATAAATTAAAGTTAAATTACAGCCCTAATAAAAAAGTTATGGGAATAGTCAAGCAATGAATTATTTATAACATTCTTTGCCTTCTTTTTTTGCAGATTAAGCACTGGCAAGTGCAATTAGACAGACATAGATTAAAAATGTCAAAAGTTGCAGACAGGTAAGTATATTGTCACATCTTCTGGTTTTTCAATTAGACTGATAACTATTGGGAAAATGTCAGTATGAAATAGCTTCAAAGAAAGAGAGACAAGGGAGCTCAGGTGTCATAGAAATAACTAATGAGAGTTTACTTTAAGTGGGAGGTATGAAGTTCTTTTATTGATGAAAGATGGCTCAGATATTCCATGATACATTTCTGATAAACCCAAGAGTCACTGAAAGAGCCTCTGACCAAGTGGTCTCAAGTTTCACCTTGCATTGGCAGGGAGGCTAACTGGAAATAGGTCTGGGGTTACTGTTTTGATATTTCAAAAGGGCAATCACTGACAAAGCAAGGGAACTGATCGGCAGAGCTGGCTGGATGAGGAGGTCAGTGCTTGAACAAAGTGAGTCTTAGCTTACTTTGGGTCAGAGGATGTAATACTAGTAGGAATCTGTCTCCAAATAAGACCAAAATTTGTCAGGAAGGGGCTAGAAAGCAAATAAAACAAAAAGTCCCTCAGAAAGACAAACTACAGCTTAGGTAGAGAAGAGGCAGAGAAAAGGAATGTTCCATCTAACACATCAAATACAGAGATACTGAAAATTGCAGAAAATTGAGCCACGTAAGACTTAGTAAAGGAATTTAAGCCAAATACAAATGGTTCTTCATCCTCTCATATATGTTTGTGCATGTATGTCTACTTATAGATGCGTATGTATGCATACACATACAAACACATATAAATATATATTTATAAAGAGAACAGGTTAAGAATTTATGTTTGCTGAACAGTAAAAATGGAATACAGACTAAATATAATATAAATAGAAATGAAAAGGGAGAATATTTGTCCTCACTTGTCAATAATTTTTCAATAATTATGAGGCAAAAGGAAACTTGGAAACTGGGAATAAAGGCATGGGAGATGTAAATTACCAGAACACAAGCAAAGTTTTTAGCGCATTCAGCTGAGTCAGACCGATTCATAAATACTGAAGAATTTGGAAAAAAAATTGGGCTTTTTGGAAAGCAATAAACTTGGGAGTAGTGCCATTTGATTAGGAAATAATATAAATGTTAACTGTATTTAAAAGAGGAAAAAAGGAATCCCAGCAGCTGCAAGGCCAATAAATATGAACTGAATAGCATGCAGTGTTTTAAAACAGATTTTAAAGGAACTGATAATTAAAACCATAGGGGTATAAAACATGATCCTTTATGAAAGCAAACATGCATGAAAGAGGTTGCTTGATTTAATTTATTAGTGCTTAAAGGAGCCCTAAAAGGAGCTATGTGGAAGTATTAGGGAAGTTTGTAGTTTATTTTATCTCAGCTCTTGGTAAGACCTGAGCCACCTCTCCTTCTTCAGGGGTCCACTTTTAAAAGGCTTGAGCAAATCTATTTTAGCCTGAGCTTATAGCTGACTTCTGAGTGTGTGCACACCCAGTTACCATGGTTCAGTTGACGCAAGGTAACTTGTTAACTGGGGTAACTTGATCAGGTTTCCTCACCTCCTGACATGACAATGTTTGATGCTTTTGTTTTCCTAGTCTATTAGCTTATACAGAGCAGTATTTGGAATATGATCCTTTTCTTGTGCCCCCTGATCCCTCAAACCCTTGGATATCAGATGACACCACTTTCTGGGAACTGGAGGCAAGGTATATAATTTTATTTCTTCTTTTGGGGTAAGGTGGTATAACAGGCTTTTCTTGAAGCATGAAGATTTCAGACAGAGGTATTGCAGGAAAATACTGAAGCAGAAGGGCAATGCAGCATCCTTTTGGTCTTTCGAGCTTTACTGTTTCGCAGGATGGGAAGAACTATGGATTAATAAGTCTGTGTAAATAAAGTTACAGTTACCAGTTTCCAGGGTTCTGGTGTAAGGAAAAAAGACACCTTTTAAAATTTAACATTTCCTAGTTGGAAGTCCTTATTCTTCTGTGTAAATGCATGCGTATTACCTCCATCCTGTGTAAATACTAACAGCCTGGTTGCTCATCTTTGAACATTGCACAGATGTGAGCAATCTGGAAGGTGAGAAATCTGTGGTTGAACTTTAGGACTTAGTTTAAATTATGAACACAGAGTATTAGAATACTGACTATTGCTGATTGTAAATTCTATTATTTTTTCTTCTGTAGCAAAGAGCCAGGACAGCAGAGGGTGAAACGATGGGGATTTGGCATGGATGAAGCTTTGAAAGACCCTGTGGGAAGAGAGCAGTTTCTCAAATTCCTGGAGTCAGAATTCAGTTCAGAAAATTTAAGGTAAGTGAGAGGGGCTTTATTTTTTAATAGCTTCTAAGCTACATTAAGGGGTTTTTTTTTGTCTGATTCTTTTCATTTTTTGACCCCTTCAAAAATTTTTCTGTGTCTTACCTTTCAGAATCCATTCATGCAGATTGCTGCCTGCTCCCATATTCAGGCTGAGGGAAAGATTGATATAGTTAGCAGAGACTCACATGAAGCATATTTTCCCATTCACGTCCAACTTTTGGTCAAACTACCCATGTAAGAGCTTTTCTCTCAGGTCATTTTATTAAACAGGTTTAAAACATTGAGCCATTCAAAGCCTGTTCAGTATATTTTAAGTCCAATATGATGAGAACAGTAAAATTAAAAAAGAGAATTTGTTTAAAAATAAATAAGGGATTTAAAAGTAAAATTTGCTGTTGGTCAGGTTTCTGGGGATCACTGGTCTTTTGAAAGTCTTCACTAAGATTCTAGTACTCGTGGATCTGACACAGCAGAAGTAGTGTGACAGCTAGCTCTCAAATTCCTCACTAATTGCAAAATGGAAAGATGCTGCTAGTATATGAAGCTCAAATAAACTTTAAAAAAGAAATTCTGTATATATACAGAATTACTTTGAAGTGAGGGAGAACAATTATTTGATTTTAAAAAATGATAGTCCATCCATTGGCTAATAACATGTTTTGTTGTCGCTATTCTAAGGAAGTCGTATTTTGGTAAGAATTATTTCAGAGGGATTGATAACAGCCTGTCTATAGATAAGTCAAACTAGTGCAAAAGCATGTACAATATATTTTTCTCTTTATTCCACCTTCTTGTCAGATGTCATCTGTATTAACTTCCCATTCACCAATAGCATAAGGAGTATAAAATCCTATCTGCACACATTCTAAAACTCAGAAAAATCCTAAACTACTTTTTTCTATGCCAGTTCTCACTCCGAAGTGGTGCAGCATAGCCATTCATATTAGTGTTACATTTGTGTAGAATCTTACAGGTGGTGTTGATTCATAAATGCTGAGTAGTTGCACAGACCTCCTTGTTGTTAATTTAAGTTTGTCAGCAGAATAATTGGAGATGGACTTCTCTAAGTTGCTGACCATGTTCATATTCAAACATTGAATTTTGCATCACAAATGTATATTAAATACTCTAGACCTTATGATATTTTCCAACTGATTTGTTTGCCTTTACTCCCAGGGAAATGTGGCCTGACCTGTGTGTGTATATTGATAACTTCATTAGTGACAGATACAGATTTTTTTTTTTTTTAATTAAAAAATCGAAGTGGTAAAATTAAATTTTAAAAATCAGAATAATACCAAGAAAAGGAAAGGTAATTTTTTTTTATTTAAAAAGCATCCTAGTAATTCCTTATGCAGAGCAGCTGTTCAAACATGAACCTAGCCAGCCCAGTGTGTGCTGCAGTTTCTATGCTTTTCTGTGATGAATTTGTCTCTCTGCCAACCAGACTGTTACCTGCATAATCCCTAGCTCTTTCTTCTAATCCTGTTTACAACACTAACCACAGGAAAACTGCAAGTGACTGATCCAGAAAAATTCCCTAGAGAAATTTGTTCAGAGCTGATTCCTTGACATGCCATCTACTCTTCTGTCTCTCTCTCTAGAATTCTTATATTGGCATTATAAAAAGGAGTATCTGAGCAACGGTGAATATGAGCTTAAAGGCTGTCCCTGGGAAGGATCAGGCAGGGGATCAAACTTGCACTGAAAAGGTGCTTTCTGTGATGATTAACTGAAGGAAAACTGTCTCACAAGCTCAGAATTATGTTTATGAATTCTCAAACTGTGGGGAAATTAATCTACCGTTAGGCTTACACAGTAAAGTCAGGTGAGAAAGCATGAATTTGTAAAGCTTGTTGTGTAGGGGAGTCAAAATGTTATAGACCTCAGTAACAGAAATGAAAAGCATTACTGCTGAATAAACCTTAAATTTAAAAGACCACCAATTTCTTTGCTCACTTGTTAACCCCACTGTGGCAATTTGGTTGTTTGGGGCGGTTTTTTGGATTTGACAGCCACATTGAGAAAAAGCTTTATTTCCATCCACATCTTCCCACTGCAACAAAGTGAACTCAAGTCAGTAGCTGGCTCTTCTACTTTTACAGATCCAATCATGATAAAATTTACAACAAGCACCATCAAACCTACAGTGGGATAGACAGCTGGGACCCTGGGTTCAAGCTACCAAGTGCAGTACACAGGATACAGCAGAGGACTGCAGACACTACAGAGAGATTCAGTATGAGTAGATTAGAAGCCTCATACCTCGCTTTCGTGAAAGAAATGTGAAATGATAAGTCTACTAGATACAGCTTTTCTATTCAAGTGTGATTATCTTATGTAGCTAGAAGTCCCAGTGTTACTGTTTCATTAACTTGGACTGAGAGTGTGTAAGCTGGCTGAGAATCTCATTCTTAGTGAATATAGATCCTGTTTTAAGAAACAGAACAGGGATGAAGAAACTGGAGCCACAAGTTAAAACTAAGAACTGTGCAATAATTAGGAATGCAACCAGGTTTCACCTTCTTACTCTCTACGTCTGTGCTTTTTTTCTTTGCCTGTAAATTGGGATTAATAGTATTTCACTCTCTAAAGGGGTGTTGTAAAGCATAGCAAAGGAACAAAACTGTCTAAGCAGTTCTGTCAGTGTGGTAGCTTCATTACAGTGTGATTGCTGTTTGCTAACACACAGGTTGGATTCTGCAGTCACCTAATGCAGGCTATGACTTGTAATCTCTTGTTACCATGCAGATTTTTTGGAGGGATCACTTTGCATGCTGCTCACTACACAGAACAAATAGCTAAACTAACATATGATTTGGATAATAGATTTATAAAAGTCCCACTGCCTATTACAAAAATGGTGACCGTTGTTTAAAATTCACAAGACTTAAGTTTGAGCGTGATCCAACACTACTGAGCTTGGTCACAAGGCTGTCCAAGCACTGAAAAAAGACTTTTCAAAGAGAGTGAGATAGTGAAATGAATCTTACTGCAATGTGGCACCTGGAGACCTAATTTCTTTCATCCCTGTGGAAAAACCCTATTCCTCTCCATATTCTTCCTTTGTCTGTAGTGCTGCAGAATTCTTTGGAAAGTTAATATTCATATGCTGACTGTACGTTTGCTCCCAAGTGGTTGTTCTGTAGAAATTGCAGCCTGTAAAGATCTAAATGGTTTCAGGCCTGCCAATCTGAAAGCCTGTCCAAGTCAGTATGCAGTATTGCAGTAGGTGTGAGCTCCAAGGCAGTGCTAAGATTGCAAAAGCCTCCTCAGATAGTGAAGGGAGAGTGGTGACAGGACATCTTCCATGATGCACAGAAGGAAAAGCCGCTGGACCCCTTGCCCTTTCCTTTGATCCTCATTTATTAGCTTCCATAATGTGTGAGTAAATAGGGAAAAGGGGCTTTGAGTTCTGGTTGTCCAGAAAAAGAAGAGAGGGATTGAGGAGTTACCTAGATTCAGATGTTTCCTCTCGATAAATTTTCTCTGACCACCCCCCTGCAAGCTGAGATTTTGTGAGATGTTTATTTTGGACTCATCCATTTAAGTCATTGTAGAAATGTTCTGTATTGGAGATAGAGGCTTCAATTATGTGCTGTAGAAAAAAAAAAAAACAACCCACATATACACTACTAAAAATTTGCAGTGTTGCCTACAAACTGTTTCAGTCATAGTGCTTAATTTTATGTTTAACTTACTTCAGTGTTCTGATTATTCTTTTAATAACACCATAACAGTACTTTTACTAGAGAAGAGGGAGAAAGGTGCAAGAGGTTAAGTTTTCTTTTTAATCCAGCCTGTTTCACTTTTTTGCTCTTTATTACTGATCACCACTCCTGTTGACTTTAAATGCAAGACATTTCTGTCTTCACTGATGGTGGGCGAGAGAGTTCTGCATGTTACAAAGCATGAAGATTGATTAACTGTCCTTGATGTCTGTCCTGCAAGTCTGAACAGAAGTGTTGGTAATGACACTTTCCCACACAGTATGGGCACTGGTAATGTTTATCCTTCACACTGTTGATTATGAGACCCTGTTTTCGTGCTAATAACTTGACCAAAATTTAATCCTCAAGGCTGAAATTGCCTGGGCTTTATTTCTCATTCAGACTCAAGCATTCAGACTCCAAGTCCCAGCAACGTTGCCATTTCTGCAGATCAGGTGAGAAGGAACTGGTTGCAAGACTTAATGGTTTTCACTGTCATTTTCTTGAAGACCTCAGCACTACTATGTCTTGAAGCTTGAAGTTGTACTTGGCAAGAAGGTGAACTCTAGGAATCAGAGAGTAGTCTTTCCTGCCCCTAGAAAAACTTTAGCTGATTTTCTCCGTGGAGTTTGTTAAGGTTTTCTTTTGCTTTTGCTGAAAATGCTGAAAGGTCTGTCCTCCGACAGTTGTGTCATATGCACTGGGTGCAAAGCCCACGTACTTCCCACTTCACTACCTCCACACTCTGCCTAAACCTCACACATTTTGTGGAGAATCACTGCAGCCTTTCTCTCACTCCATGTTCCTATGTCCTAAATTTAACTGATCAGCTTCATGTGGGATCTGCTAATGGCTGCATCTGACATTTAGGTCAGTTAATAGGACAGAAGCCATGTTGCAGCTGTGCTATTTATCTGGCAAGGCCACCCTTACTTTGAAAGTAATCCAGCTGGAGGATATAATCCCCAGATGTCTTGCAACACGTCTTACAATGTCATGTGTCTGGATGTACGGCTATACACTCTCACTCAGCTATACGTCTGGTGTGTGACCCAGCATGTGGCAGCCCAAATGCTGGGACAGAAGACAGCAGCGGGATTTACACCCGGCTACTCAGGTCTCTGTTCAAATGGTACTGAGCATCTTTAAGAGAGGGTCTCCATCATGGCAAAAGCAAACATCCACCAACAGGAGATACAGAGTTTCATCCAAGGGCAGAGAGACTGAGCTGTAGTTCCTTCCACGAAATAGCACTAAGTATATCTGTGTATATCATTGTCCAGAAAATGCAGCTGAGTTCCCCCTCTCCCCTCTCCTGCCCTTGTACATATTTACTGTTGCACACTGTGTGCTGTTTGCTACAGGAGTCTTCCCTTGTTCTGGTCACAGCTCATGAGGCAGAGAGCTCTAAAAGGAGACAGGGAGCTCTTTTGATTTGAGGTCTTGCAGACCTGTGCTGAGGTCTTGCAGGCTCCATTTCAACTTCTTCTGTGCTATTGGTTGCCATGGGATATTTGGAGAAGTTATTTTTGAAAATGCAAGAGGTGGCAGCCTTATTTTTGGCATTTCCTAACTTTGCATATTTGACTTTAACTCTCTGTGGGAGGAGGGCAGGCATTTTTTCTTGAAAGATCAGTAAGTAGATTAAAATGTTAAAATGTGTGTTGGCTGTGAAGTAAGCACCCTAGACATAACATACTGCAGAAATCAGCATTTTCTTCCCACTTTTACAGAGGTTTCTATATTTAGAACCTCACATTTTCAATAGGATTTTTGAATGCTAATGTTAGAAGGGTAAAATAAAATTAATCTATCAAAGAGCTGGTATTCAACCTGTAAGGATGTGTCTATACAACCTGCCTATTTTATGCTGGAAGCTGAATGTTTCCTCAAAGAAGTTAAATTTATCTCCCATTTATTTCCCCATAATTGAGTATAACCTACTATATGGAAACAGTTTACTTGCAAAAGAAAGTAGTATCCTAAGGCATGTTTGTGGTGACTTCCAAAAGTATTGGCAGTGATATAATGGAACAAACAAGAATGTGACAGCTTTGAGCTAGATCCTCAGGATGTCTGCAGGGTGATAGAAAATGTGTGTTTACAAAGAACATTCTTCCCTTGCATTTTTCTATTCTTTACCTGACTTCAATACACATGAGTAATCAGTCAGTCCCAGAAGATGCATTTGAAGGGGTTAGCACTGCAGGATATACACTTTTAAATGCAAATATCAAAAGCAGTTTAAGGAAACCAAAGTCGGTTGCCCAAATTTGAGAGAGTGAACTGAATGAGAGTTTGTGAGCTGTGCAGTTTTTAAACTTGAGTTATGAGGCCTCTATTCTTACTGCATTGCCATCAGATTCTCAGGATATGTCCCCAGGCTCTGTGCAGATCTATGTTCAATTCACATTGCAGTTCATAGAGATAAGTGATGCTACCCAGAATTTTTGAAACTGAAGTTCTTCTGTTGGCACAGACTCCCTTTGTGACCTTGGAGAAACCACTGTACATTATTACATTATTCATATATTTGGCAAACTGGGACAATATTACTTCTGTGTCTCTTGGAGAATCTTAAGGGATCAATAGACAGAAAAATTGTGCGTAGATACTATGGAAATCGAAATAGTCATCTCAGTAGAGTGAAGCTGACCATAAGGGCTTGTAAGCAATGAGCATGAGCTCCGTCCATCTGTGCTACAAAGGAGTTTCAAAACAGGACTATGAAGGACTAATTGCTTCCTGGAAGGTAAATCATCTCAAGTGAAGAATGTCTTATAGGAGAAATACTGTATGCTTTACTATGCTTTACTATCCTCTTTTAAGGGTTGTTGCAATAACTATATTAGAATTTGGATTGAGGGTGTTACCGTTTTGTTTTCTTGGGGGGGGCTGAGTATAGTTCCACTATTACTCCCCCCTATCCCATCCCTGTTTAACTAAGCTAAGAGAACTCAGTTTGATCTCACAGTGTAAGCAGGGTGGAACCACATTTTAAAGCTGCACCAAATTATTTGTCAGCCTTGTAAAATCCAACTTATTTCACAGTTAACTCACTTCAAGGTTCAGCTTATCTGTTTCATAGGATCAGCTGTGTCAAAACAATAATGAAAAGTTGTGATGGTATATATTGCACTTTTAACAAAGTCAAACTTTAGTTGAGCTCTCGGGGCGGGGGGGGGGCGGGGAGGGGAACTAAGTGGTCTGCACCATGTCTAAGCATGGGATCCTAGGTTAATTTAGAATGATTTTGTGCAGTGAGAGAGTCTGAACACCCATAGAAGAAATAATGATAAAACAACCATAATAGCAAATGAAAAGTGATTATCAAAGCTTATAGCTAGCTAGCTGTGATCACAAAGTGCTCAAGACCTTTTTAGTGATCCTGCTCCAGACTGAGTGAGAAGCATACAATGAACTGGCCTGCACTGTATGTGGCTGCCTGATGTTGAGTTGCTCAGCAGCAGAAAAGAGAGAATGGGTACTTCCATTCAGCATTTTAGTAAAAATATGCATAGAAATGCAATACTGAAGAAAGAGATTATAGCGAGCAAAACAAATGCTTTTCCAGTTTATGCATCATTTGTGGAGTTATAGTAACAAAATTACAGTTACACAGTTTAGCAGGACTCAGAGAGATTCATGTAGATAGCAAGAACATAAGTTCTTATTGGCTTTTGAAGGAATGTCAAAAAGCAAGAGGTTTATAAGCAATACAAGCCCTTGTGGTTCAGGTGAAATGGAATCTCAGTGTAATTCCAGTTAAATGGAAACCTTCCTGTAAGCAAGTTACCCATACATAAATAATGAAGGATTTTCTATCCGTCTCGTGAAAAGGCTTGTAATAATTGCTTCTTAAGGTGGATTGATTGCCTGAGACAGTATATCAGAATGCTGATCCCAACACAAAATCACTGATTTTTCTTATTTTAGCATGTTTTAGATGAAAACTTCAGTTACTTCATTTTTTTTAAAGAGCAAAGAAGAGTGTGAGCACTTCATTAATGACTATACTGAATTGGAGGTCAAGGTGCTATGTTATGCCATAGGTTCTGGTTAGCAGTAGAAGACCTGAAGAAGAGGCCTATCCGTGAAGTTCCTGCTCGCGTCCAAGAAATTTGGCAAGAATTTCTTGCTCCAGGTGCACCCAGCGCTATCAATCTAGATTCAAAAAGTTATGACAAAACCACGCAGAATGTAAAGGACCCTGGAAGATACACATTTGAAGATGCTCAGGTCAGTTCGCAATTCTGTTTAGGGACATTTGAAGCAGAATATTGGCTAGTGAAATCTATATGCATAAAATAAGATATATTTGGGACTTAAATGGTAATGCTCTGTTTCCTAAAATGCCATTTCGGCAATGAAAATAGGTAACATTCTTTCATGATGCCTATGAATTACTAAAGCTCTTAATGAAACTTCTGTGCCTGGTATAGAGTCTTCAAGTAGGCTTCAAATAGAGCAAGCATATAGTGCAGTGAAAGTGGTACTTTCATCTTCCTGTTTTCTTAAGTTTCCTATTCAGTTACATTAAGAGAAAAGCTTCACCCCCCCTCCCCCCCACGTTGATTTCTAGTTCTCAAGATCTGTCTCTGAAAGACTTCCCTTGATACTGGCTCAATGTCTGTTCTCTCAATGCATGTCCAAAAGTGCTGTTATCATTTATAGGAGTCATAGGTTCCCATCATGAAAAGAATATGACCCATGTGAGAAATAACATTTTGTAACAGCTTGTGCAGAAGTATCATATTTCACAGATGTTGTATATTCTATACCGTATTAAACTACTATCTACAGAACATTGGGCAAAGATCCTAAGGATATGCTCTTCAACAATCAATATTACAGCGGTAAAGAACAGTCTGTAAATGTCTTATTTGGCTTTTGGGGGTCTGATTTAGTCACAATTTGAATACCATCATCAGAAGATACTTTTGACCAGAGCTAGATTTGTGAAAATACTTATATTTTTGAGATTGGAAGTAAAAGTTGAAAAAAACAAAACGGTAAATACAAATCTTGGTTTTCCTCAGAAGGAAAAACAAGTACTTCTGTATTAAATGCGACACTTCATGTGACTTATAAGTTAAAATTTCATCTTTGCAGACTTCTGAGAAAAGCAATATAAAAGAATTGGATTCACAGTAAAAGTAGAACCAGTACCATCCTCCCTTTTCCATCAGCAGCCCAGCGATGAAAATTTAATTATTAATGCAAAGTGAAACAGTGTCAAAAGGAGAGATTGAGATCACATCCCTGCAGAATTTCCTACAGCTTGATTATTAGGTCATCATCTTGGGAGTCAGGAGATGCTGCTGCAAGTCCCACAAAGGAGAGAAGGGAATGGAATCGGGGCTTTCTACTTTTTGGGAAAGTGCCTCTGCCCTAAATAGGAGGGGGAATAATTCTACCATCTTTTCATTGTGCTGTTAAGAGAATAGCAACCTATGATGCAACAATAAAGTTTTCATTAGACACTATATCAAACCCACTGTTTTGAAGTACTCTGCATTAAGCCAAACCCACAGTTTTTGCTTGCATCTGCTGACCCCCTGGAGATTTAGGAATGCAGTGTATAGCAAAGACATAAGTTACACAAATAAACAATCTAGCAAGATTAAAGATTTTTTAAAAATATGTCTTTGCAGTTGAGTCAGTAAAGGACAATTAAATTCCTTGCCAGTATCCAATTTTTTTTTTGTAAAAATAGGTGTAAAATTTCAACATCATTTTACTTCCAGATCTCTCTTCTCTTTTTTTTTTTTTTTCCCTTCATTTATGGAAGATGTGGAGTATTCAGTCTTTATGCAAGCAGGACTTTTCCTCCTGTTAGACCTCTGGTTATTTGATCCCGTTCAGCATACAGCTTGAACCTGGAAGCCTCCATTTCTCTGGGAAAAGGGGGCAGACTGTACCTGCCGTGTTCTGACTTGAAGTTTTAGGACCTTTACAGAGCGCCCCACCTGAAGTGGCCGGGTTTTGTCAGGAGTAGGGCTCTGCCTCTGCAACGGGCTCTTTATGGCCTGCCAGTTGGGAAAGAGACCACTTCCAAGTCATTCTGGCAGTTGGCTGGTCATTTAATTGTGGTTAAAAATGTTTTGAAAAGCATTTCTGGACTTGAAAGATGGCACCACAGAACTCCACGTCAAATGAGAGTGATACATAAGTAAAAATAGACCGATTGTGCTAAATAACATCCAGCCTCAATTCCTGACTACTATGTATATTAACAGTACTAATACAGCCTAATTTATTCTTGCTTTTACAGGCTTGGTTTTTACACAGAAATAACATTTTAATGCCCATCACCATTGATATGTACAACAGGAGCAGAGTCCTTTCTGCTCTCTGTTGGCTGCATTGGCTGCTTTCATAGAAACTGAGTGGAACAAAATCTCCCCAAATAAACCAGCCTAAGTTCTGAATATACACGAGAATTTCTCTGCTTAGTGCAAGAAATACAACGAAAGGCACTTAGAATCATTCTCTAGAGTTTCTAATACAACAAAAATTAAAAATCAGGTTTAATTTTACCTTGCCAGAATTTTCAAGCAAGGTGGGGTTTTTTTTTCTATTCACTAATTTTATGCAGTACCAGGCTGACAAACAGTTTGTTTGCTGTTTCCTGATTGCTGTGCTACAAGGTTCCTATAGTAAAAGGTAGGGTTCGAGTAGAAAATAAAACAAAAATAGCTAACACAATTCAGTGGGTTTTTTAAAAATATTTTTTTGGAGAGTATTTTCTGTTGTGATTTCTTTTTCTACAAATCCCTTTCCTAACATTATAACTAGAACCAGAATTATAAAGTGTCCTACATCATAGATTTTTAGGTTTTCATATTTTGCAGAAATGAGAATGCTCCAAAAAGAAAAGCTCTATAAACTGCCTGTGTCATTTGTTTTCTGGATAAGGGTTTCCAAATTTTCATATGCCTCGAAGAATAAATGTCTTGGAAATTAGATAAGCCTGGAACAGTTTTTCAATTTCCATATGTATTTTTCTTTTTATATTGTCAGCTAGATAGCAGAATAAACATCTGTCAAAGGATGTTTTCAAGAGTAGCCAGGGGATATCCTCCCTAACTTAAGCACTTATTTGTAGTGCTGAATTAGAAACCTAGTACCTTTTTCCAGCCTATGAAGTCAGAAAAGCACCTCCAGAAACTAATTCAGAAAATCTGATGAGGAAGGATCCACAACTCCTGATTTAGTCACTTAGCTAAACTGACTAATGTAAGGGAGGTTTGAAACTGGGCCTTAAGCTAGGATTCAGTTGTAAATGCTTAGAAAAATAATTCTGTAGTGGAAATAGGGACTATAAATTAAAGAAAGATGCGTTGTGTTCTTTATACATAAGAAATAGGTGGGATTTCTGCTTTAAGAGTAGAAGCAACTCACCCTTAGCTTCAGAACTGCGACCTACTAATCCATAAGACTTCCTATTCAAAATAGTGCTAGCTGGTATACATTCCACAACTAAAACATATACGACTGCCTCCCATTTTACTTACATCTTCTTTTATGGAAGTAACAGCTCCTTCTTTTCCTTTCAGGAGCACATTTACAAACTGATGAAAAGTGATTCTTATCCTCGTTTTATACGATCCAGTGCCTACCAGGAGCTGCTACAGGCCAAGAAAAAGGTATTGGTCCATCTTGCCTTTGTCTTGCCACTGTGCAAAGCGGTGGTTATGTTTGCAACAATACTCAGTCTTCTCTCCCCTGTGCCAGTGCAACTGGATATCTGGTAGGTGACCAGCTTGGCGTGTTTGGAGGGTCACATACACACAGGAGTTCAATATACATATATGTGTATATATCCTGCATGCGGGCATGTTTCAATAAGTTAATCTAGCAAAACTTATTTTTATTTTTACATCCCATATTGTACTGTTTTCTCTGTTATGAAGCACCTTAAATTGCAAAGTGCTTTACAAATACATTAAAAAAATAAAATGAAATCCCAGAAGAATAGTCTTTCATGTTTGCAAGTTTGCTTATGTAATAATTGTTGTTCTCTTTATTCCACCTATAAAAGCTACAGAATGTGTTTAGAAACAATATCTTATTTGTCTGAATAACTTCTAATTTCAACTATAAATATAGGGGCTTCCTAATTCTGTTTCTTTCCCTATTATTACATGAATAGTTTTGAGTAGGTTAGGAATCTGCCTTGAAAGACTGATCATGTCACACTTCTGCAAAAAGAGGCTCATGTCTTGGTATGTAATATTTGCTTAGAAAAGTCCAGATTACGGAATGAGTTCTGAATAGACACAGCCCAGAGTATGTGGAGCAGCTTGTGCAATGCAGATCTCTATAATGATAAATAATTTTGTTAGTGGGCTCTAAATAGTGATCTCCTAGAATCAGCTGGGAGCCCTGTGCCTGCAAAATCAGGGCCCCGATCGTTACCGGGACAAGGTAGTTATTAACACCGTAGCATTCTACTGTTTATAATGACAACCTAAAATTATATGAAAGTACTGTGTGATTTTGTTTTTTGTTCAAACATTGATTTCTGAAGATCCAATATAGAGAGAGATGTTGAAAATACCAGAAAGCTACAACTGTCCGTGTGAAGTCCTTAAGTTTGTGAATGTCAGTTCATTAACACAAGATGTGCACTTCATTATTTCCTTTTATTTTCAGTTTTTCTTTTAAATCAAACCGGTTTGATCCCCATGAAAAATGATTTTTGTCGAGTACTATATCTGCTTTGGCCATCCCCTGTTTTGCAGAGTCCCATTACAGCTTCAGACCTGTGTTTGCTTCCTGATTTATACAAACTTTGTTTTGCAGTCCATTGTTTCATCAATCCTTCTTTTCTACTCCATTTTTTCTTGCTTTTCTTTTTCCCTTCCTTTTTCTTTTTGTTTCCTTTTTTTTTATTTTAAATTTAAGTTGGAAAACACTCTGGATCGTCGAAGATCTTTTGAGAAATTCACACGCAACGTGGTAAGTTTGTTGCCTCGGAAGATTAGTAAACCTGATGGGACATCCTTCTCCCCTCCCCCTCACTGATCCCTACTTTTCCCTTTTTGCTTCTCTAACCTGACAGTTAAAAGTGTATTTATCACAGTTTGTGAATTTTCCTAGGAATGACAGCTTTGTAATGTGCTTTCATTACAACCCCTTCTCCCTAGACCCTTTCCCACTGACCTCAATAGTCACACATGGAGGAATGGACCTTTGGGAGCCATGCTTTTTGCATTAGGAAGCATGAAATTATTCACTCTTTTTTTTTTTTTTTTCTTTTTAATTGTAGTAAAGAATCTGTGAAAACCTGCTTGATGTTGTTCCTTTTATTGGTGCCTCCCAAAATACTAGCTCTGACACAGTTTGAATGCATTGGATTTCCTTCCTGTCTCCTTTTTATTTTATTAAAAAAGAGTTTGTCCCATTTTTTTTAATTGGGCACAGGAAAAAATAAACAATAATAATTTCCCATCTTCCTTAATGTCTAGCACAGCTTCTTCAGGACCAAAGAATTCATGCTGATGATGCACAAGGGTTTGATTGGGATTTCATTTTGATAATGGACTACAAGAACTGATTTTTTTTTTAATATATAATTTTCAAAAGATATTTCACAAAGGTAAAAAAATGAAAGCTGGTAAATTTGCTCTGGGCATTCTCTTGCCACCTGCCAAAAGATCCACTGATTTCCTGATATGCGGGATTCTTTTTACTTATCCAGTTTCTTTGGATTTTTTTTAACATTGTGAAAGTTCAAACTAAAGCATTCAACGCATTTATTTTTGTAGGGCAGAAACATCCCTATTTTCCCATGCCATAAAAACTGTACACCAACACTGAGGGCGAGCACTAACCTGTTATGAAAAGAGGTAGAAAGATCTTGGATTATACTCAAGTTTGTCTGCATTGTCTGTTGAATTGTGCAGGTGACGCTGCTCTGTATGTGTGTGTGCGTTCGTGGCTTTTTCTGTGACCTGGTTAATGGAGCTGTGTGCGTTGAAATGAAAAACATGAGAGCTTACAGCAAAGATCATGGTTTTTGTTTTTTAGTTTCTAGGGAAGGAGAAGCAGTTCTCAGAAACTGCCTCCCGTATAATGAGGCTCAAGAGTATTTCCTCAAGTATTTAAAATATATAGATACACTTTCTAGTAATCAAAAAAAAAGAAACAAATGCAGTGAAAGAAGAAAGTTTTGTGAGGCTGTGGGAGTATCTCACATGTTAAAACAAAACTGTAATTCTTTAACTACTTTCTTATAGGTAAAGGCTTCCTGTAATATGCTTTGAATCCACTGTAATCAGGAAGAAATTTGGATTCAATGGGACAAAGTCAGTAAAGGACACTACAAAGTAAATGAACAGCCACAAAGGAAACAATCCCAATGTTTGAAACAAAAACCCCTATATTTTGCATGGTGGTGTTGCCATAGCATGTTGCAGCGTGATTTGTGTGTTGTCTAAGCAGGTTGATCTATAAAACAACATTGTACATGATAACATTATACCTGATAATTACATGATAATTCCATAGGAAGTTCCATATTAATAAAAGAGCCTATCTTAATAAAAGAGAGTGTAAGAGAGTAGGTAGTACATCTGGGACCTCTGAGAGCCAGGCCTTTTCCCAGTCACAGTGCCTGGCAAGTTGCAATAACTATGTTTATTCATGGGAGTTTAAACAGCCCACAGATCAGGAATTGGTTATGGTAAAGAGTATGTAAACGGGTAGCTATAAGGAGAGAAATAGCAAGCTGCAGACAGATGTGAGGCGAATACAGCACAAAAAAGGAAAAAGTAAAGACAGACTGGGAGGCGCTAAGATGACTCTCCAATAATCCCTCTCAGAGCAGCTTTACTGATAAACCAGCAGTTCTGTGCACAAACACTGGAGCGTTATACCCTGCAGGCGTGCCCAATTTTCACCGTGCTAATCTCGGGGCAGAAGTTCCAGAATAGCAGGACGCCAGAGGTGCAAGGCAGGCCCAATAAACCAGCTGTGAGCTAGAAATGGGAATGAGGATTTCTGGATGTGAAGCGTTAGTACCTGTCCAGTGGAGAAGGGTGACTCTTTTTTCATGGAGCAAGCTATAAAATAAAAACTGTGGTTTTGCTTTTTCTCAAACTACAACCTGTGAATCCGGGTGGAGTCTGTCAAGTCGGGTCAAGTATGAAAGTAAAACATGTCACTGCTAGATCTATATTCTCTATTAGATTGGCAGCTCTGAGGCTTGCAAATTAATTTAGAATGTCGGGATGCTCAAGTGCAAACCTTTCCTCCAAGACGACTGAATTCATACCACCCACTGCCCCAGGACCCCTTGCCACCAGGCATCCTTGTTCTTCCATTCTTGTTCTCGGTTATAAGTAGTTTATAATACGTAATTATCTACCTTGGTACAATGGTTCCAACCAGCAGGGATGAGGGAAACATTTCTCAGAATATCCTACGGTGTACTGATTAACTTGTTCAACTGTGAAGTGAGGGACTGTGGTATAGATCTGTTCTTCTGATTAATACAGAAAATAGGCGTGAAATAGGGTCTTCTACAACCTGGATAAATGCCGTCATCTCTGAATGTTATAGTAAGATGAAAATTACAATTTCTCTTCTCCTCTGAGAATTTAGACTAATTTTCACTGGGTTTTTTCTCACTTATATCAAACTGGGTTTGTATTGAACTAAATTAGACCTCAGTTTTTTCCATTTGAAGTGTTTAAAAAAACCCAGTAACCTTGGTTGTGCCTAGGGACTGAACCTGAGAAGATGACCTTGTTATTCATGACCTGATTTGTTAAGATGGAGACTATAAGAGGCTCCTGATCAGTGGCGGTTGAAAGTGGGTTATACTTCCTAGAGAAAGCATATGTTAAAGTAGAAAGTTCAGAAACTTCGTAAGGGCAATCCCTCTGCACTATTCCTTGAATTAAGTGGAAATAACCTAATATAATGAGTCGTTATTCTAGTCTGATGAGGAAAAAACAAAAGTGGAGCTATATACACAAAAAAACCCTAGGTTCAGCTCTGCATTTCTTTGACACTGGAGAGTTTTCTTTCCAGAAAACTTTCAATAAGTTGGTGCACTTTATGAAAGCCCTAAATGCTTAGCTTAAAAACATTGGCAATTTAGCTTGCTCTGTAGATTTTATAGTGCAAAATTGCTAATGCCTTTGGCAGTCCCAACAGACAATATGAATAGTGTTAGAAACAGGTCTGCATTCACATACAATATGGATAAAGTAATAGCAAACTGGTATTTGCTATATGTAATATTTATTACCGAACACCTTATAGTTTGCCTCTGAATAGTAAGCACAGCTATTTTTGGTTTGTCTCGCTTATTCACACTCCCAGGTATTATGTGAAAATATAGAGCACACTGGAATGATGCCACTGGATAAGTGTATTGCCTTGGAGTAACACCGGCAACCACAAGTGTCACAGCTCTGACTCAGAGGCATGGGGAGTGGTGACAGTGTGCTCTGTGCTCCCCCCGACCAGCTCAGCCCCCCAGGGTTCTCTTTGGGAATAATTAAGGTCCAGTCACCTGCAGCTCCCCAAGGAAGTGAGTAGGGAAGCTAAAGGCGTAAGTCAGGGAGCAGGAGAATCTCATTGCTTGCTACAGTAGTAGAGAGAGGGAAATCAGCTGTTTCTGTGGCATTTAAAAACTGAAATTCTTCTGAGGAATTTACCTGGGGAAAAAATCCATATTTTAAAAAAAAGAAAAAAAAAGAAAAAAATCAGGAAACTTCCTCTACCTCAGTACTAACATCTACAGTACAGTGAAAAAAATGGGTGAATATGCACTGATATTGTTGATGGGAACAAAGAGGTCCTTTAAGGAAAACTTTTGTCTTTCATTTCTCATGTGCATGTGGGATTTATGACAGTGGCAGACTGGTAGTCTGAGCAGGGCACCTTTGTGAACGCTAGCCTGGTGCTTAGCTGCGATCACCAGTCTAGAAGCCTGAAACAAAGGGACCTGATTTACAGGGAAGTGGGCTAATTTCATTCCCACCCCATAAAAATTTTCTTATCCCACCAGGAACCAAGTTGGTGGGGCAAGAAAGTGCAGTCTCCCTCCTCAGAGCTGCCTGGGGGGAGACACTGCATCATCATGTGTTGGTGTCATGGCTTCAGACACCATCATCAGTGTTCAAGTTTCATCCGTTGCTGCCTAATTTTAGAGAAGGCAAAAAAATGTGCTTGTTGCAAGTTTGTGATGTTTTATGGAAATACAGCCAGTACAAAACAAACTCAGTTCATATATTAAACTAGAGAGCCATCAGATGATAATTATTTTCACTCATAACCTCATAAACAAGACCCCATTTAATAACTCTGAGTTTAAAACCATTATATCTTACACTACCCATATCCTTTCAAGCTGTCTTCTCCCACTTAGCTGGAAGAACTTGCCGACCAGTGTCCTTTGATATTTCCCCCCTCCAAACCAGTAATATTAGACCATTTCATGCATGAGATGTGAAATGTGAAGGCCATTGAACACAGCACATTTTCACAGAGGCTCAGTCGAATATCACTTAACATGACGTAGGGAATTATGGTCTAGAGATGGAAATTAAAACTCATAAAAATAGCTTCCTCAGTTCTTATCAGCAGAGGATAGATCTTCTAGATGCTTAAACCAGTGTAGTCTCTTGTCATGTTAAAATCTGTCCCTTTATTGAGAAACAAGGCAGATAATATATCAATTTCATCTGTTAATCAAGACATTTTTCTGTATGAATAGGTAAAACTTATGTACACAAGGCCCTACTGTGCCAGACCGAAATTCCATCTAGCCCTGAAATCCTGCCAAGGGTTATGTTTTTCTTGAGCATAGCATTGTGAATGAGCTTCAATGCAGTATCAGCTGTGGGATCTCATGTTCAATGTACAGTCATGGAAGAAATCCTAATTAGATTTTTGAATTTACTTATAGGTTATTCCTAAAATTTAAACCAAAAAATAGCTAGTCAGAACAAAAATCACACAGCTTCTTATTTGACAAATACAAAACAATAATAAAAATAATAAGTATTTGTAGAAATGAAGGCTTTTTCCATTTCAGGAAAGAGATGGCTTATTGACGTTTGACTAAAAAGAACTGATTAAATACTTGAAATTTTTAGTTTGGACGAGTAATTAGTCCAAAAATCTAGTTTTAGGGATTTTTTAGGAATGATGCACAGGCTAATGAGGAAAATCAAAAAGAGCATCTGTAGGACACGCCAGTGAGGACTGGCCTCCTTGTCCTGTTCTGCAGCAACTGGAGCTAGCTGCTGCGCTCTGTGCTGGAAGAGAAGAGCTGAGGAGTAGCACTTGCGCAGCCACGTTCATCTAAGTGAGGAGCCAGCACCTACCATTCAGGTATTAGGCCAGTCTGCTGTTTCCCAGCTGACAAACATTTACCTGAGTCTTAAGCTATTTGCAGGAATGAGAACTGCAGAGAGGTGTAGAAAGCTGCGGGGTCAGGCCTAGGGCAAACATACTAAAAATATTTGTCTAGTGGATTGGTGCCTTGGAAAATCTCACGTGTTACCCCTCACTTCAGACAGTTATTCAAGTTCAAACCGCCCCATCTGGCAAGAGTTTGTAGGTTAATGACAAATGAGAGCAGCTCATCAGTAAATGTAAAGATTAGTGCCAAAGGAGAAAGAAATCGGGAGTGCCACCCGATTTGGAAAGAGCCACAATAAGAACGCAGTCGCTCAGCCGCTGCCTCCCGCCTGTGGACCGCTCCAGGAAGCGGTACGGCCCTAAGGAGCAATGAACAGAGGACTGCAAATCCCCGCGATAGGCAGAAGGATTTTCCTGCACATGCAACCACTTAGCGCTGCAGCTGTGCTGACAACTCGTGCCCCAAATTCAGTAGCTGCTAACCTCCTCCCCTTCCTTACGTGTCTGAAAGAGAAATACACCTGCACGGGTGGCTGAGAGCAGCGTCCCATGCTGCTGTGGAAATGGAAGCAGAATCCTGACCCCCTGAGCAGTGCTAAAGCAATTCCCCTGTGCTAGAGGAGCAAGGGCTGCCTAATCGTGGAAAGGCACTTACTGTTTCTGCTCCTGTGCCTCTCCAGATGTGCTTCTGTCAGGGGCTGTTTATATACCTGCTCTGCGTGTGGTGCACTGTGGTGTCACTTAGGAGCTTTCCCTGCGGATGCCGGCCGAGCTGCCAGCGTGCTGCAGGTGTGTCGCACGTGAGCAGATAGGGAACAGTGGGAGCAAGGAGGGTCAATTCTCACTCTGTATCTCATTTTGCTCGCAGCGGGGTTCACACTGTTTCTCTCTTACCCTGTCAGATGCACGGAGTTCTCATTTCTAGTTCTACCAGTATCGGTCCTGGGGAGTAGCATCTGTGCTGGCAATAAAGACACATGAAAAAGGAGCCATTGGGGTTGCTTAGCAGAAAGGAAGAGAATTAATCTTCTAAAAGGAAAAGACTTGATCTTCCTCTACCATACATTTCAGCTCCAGCCCTTATATAAATTTCATACTGATTTCTTATAAGGTTGTTGCTGACTTGTTTGCCGGATTATTTGAGGTGTTAGTGTCACGCTGCATAAATAGGTCAGTCAGCACGTTTGTATTTAGCAGCTCATACATCTGCACGTGGTTTTGTAATTTTCCCCCTAAATTCTCTAAAAGTACAGTTGGAAGGACAACTCTATGTTAAACAATTAATACGCTAAGGTATGGACTGGACACTGAGGCCAATTGATTTCGTATTCTTAGATGTTCCTGTTCACTCCAGCTGCTGTGCTGCCTCGTCTGGGTATGCGCACGGGGTTTTATTTTGGTTTGTGTATTATCAGTAAAATTGTTAAATAGTTTCAATTCACATGTCCAAAGTGCACCAATACAGCCAAAAATCCCAATCCTGTTTAGAATTTGGCCATATACTTCTAAATGTTGATGGCAAGAATATATTGAAAATATTAAGGATCTCCTTTTCATTCTTCAGACAAACATCTACTACTTCTGACTTTTTTTCCAATTGTTCTTTAATCTCATGAGCACAGGAAACATTTTCCTATGTGTGATGACTCATATGCTACACCTCTGAAAACCGGCCTGTTAGATGTAGTTTACCAAATCAAAATTTGGCTTATGGAAATGCTATTAACATTGTATTTGAAAGAAATAGCTAGCTCAGCTCTTAAATTATGACTCACAAGGGATGATCCTTACATCAGTCTGTGAATTGAGTAAATCTGGAAATCTCCTAGAAGTGATAATTACAAAACCCTAGCGTGCAGAGGCTAAAGTAAAAGTATACTCTTGAACAGAGTTTTAAAGAAACATTCTGTAAACTGGAAAATAACAAATCCCTGCAGATCTGAATAAGAAGGTGGGATAATTCTGTATTTGGGGCTGCTATGGATTCGGTGTATTAAAAGCTTATTTACCCAATCAGAGAACTAAGTATGATTCAGAATAAACATGGAAGCTGATCTCTTAGGGAGGGTGTATCTTCTAAGCTGTCACTTTTCCAACTATAATAACCTGGAAAAAGAACATACTTTGTTGTTGTTCAGATGGAGACTTCGTATCTATAAGAAGTGTAATATTCTCTGAGGCAGGGAGGGGAGGTGGAGGAGAGGACCATCCAGTGAAATCCTGATCACTGCAGGGCTCAGGAGAAAAAGTATCCAAAGACCAGCAATACCCAGGGAGCAAGCGATGTAGAATACAGAAAAAATTTGTTCTGACAGCTCACTGTCTCTGTAGGGGAAAATTCAAATAATATGTAGAATAAGATTATACAAGTCAAATCAACTAACTAACAACTAGTTTTTGGCCTGCTTTTAGGTCAAAACTTCCTAGTTTATGTGATATCACAACTCATTCCTGAGATGCTAGAACTTGGTTATGGTTCATCTAAAAATTCCATGGAATTTACAACTCCTAAATAATCAATTGTTGCAGATAAGAATAAAAAATTATTTCACAGATTTCATCCCACAACAAGAGCTTGCGCAGCTTTCCAGTGCAGTATTGGCAAATTGTTTTAATAACTAATAGAGAATTCCTGGTTTAATTGTTTTAATTAACTGGTTTATGCAGTTCAGTGCTAAAGGAAACTCATACATATTTACAGAAAGCACCCAGGCCTGTAGACCTGTAAAATTAAGCACAAATAACTTAATGAAAGGCAAAGATAAGCGTACGCTCACTATTTTCTGAGATGATGTCCAAGGCTGACAATCATGAATTGCCTAACAAAACACTTAATTTTGGACATGCTGTTTTAAATTGTATTCCAGTGCCACACAGCTGTTGAGACTTTTTTGACTATTTAAAAAGAAAAGATGCCTTACTATAACAGCTTACCTGTTACATTAGAGGAAAACATAATTTAGGGCTTAACAAGTGTCAAGAAGCTGTGAATTTAATGTAGGTAGAAAGTGACAGAGTTAAAGCTAGACACAGGGAAGAGAGCGTGCCAGGAAGGACACTTTCCGTCTTTCGAAGAAGCAAGTATTAATACTGTCAGGTGATACGGTGAACCTGATGGATAAGCAGTCTAACCCAAACATTGCAGATCATGAGTTCCCTTCAAAATTACGTTGTAGGGGAAATATTCATCCTAATTTGTTCAACTTGTATTTCAGAGCACAAAGAATAAAATAGTTATTCTTCCTTTTGTGAAGACCGACTCCGATATATTGCATTTGAGCAAATGCTCAAAGCCAGCTTGCAGATCCCTGTGAGCATAAATTTAACTGATAATGACAATAGATGTAAATTATGTAATTTGAGTTATAATACAGCAGATGACTTAACAGCTCATTGATATGGCAGAATAACTTCCTTTACCATTTACTGCAGAAAATGTAGTGTCTCTTCATAGTTACAGTATTTCTTACTGTAGCCTCCTCGAAATCAGTTTGATTTTTCTGAGTTGTGCACTTAAAATGAACAATACAGTAAATGTAAGTATTAAATATCTAACTGGAGAGTTAGAGCCACTTTCTATTTAATGTTTCATGATCTACTTGTGTTACATTATCAGGGTATCCCTGTGGTATTTTGAGGAGTGATGTAAGCTTGCTGTGCCAGCTCTACCTCTGTTGGATCAAAGCCACTGTAGGATGGCCCTAGGAGAGCTAACTCCTTTCATGTGGCCTTAGGAGAGCTAATTCCTGTTATGCGGTTTCATGGCTTTTGTCTGGCTCAGATAAAGCTCAAATCTGCCTGAAATATACCATGGTGACATACCCTACACCATCCTCTTCATGCTGTAGACCTAACTCTTGTGGGACAGTCATTATACCTTATTAAAAGAACTTGCTAAAAAACTGAAACCGCATCCTTGCAACAGCAGGAACGATGAGGAAAATAACAATGTGGAAATGCAAACACCTTCAAAGCAGTGTTATGCAGTCACATGTAATATACCTGACCAATGTTCCTTATAAATAGTAAATACGGTCTCAGCAAACCGATAGCTGTGTTCATGAAAAAGCTGCTTTCCTGCCTACATGCAATCTGCCTCTTACTTTCCTACCTTAACTTTAAAGTAGCTTTTTGTCTTCTGTGACAGAGCTGCCGCAGTTTGCACATTCATCTTTCTAGCACAAGGCACTCTCGCTTGCAGTAGCCTTCTTCAAGTTCTGGGTATGACCGACGGCAAAACCCTCCGCATTAGTATCTCATCAGCCAAAGCCAATCTCATTCAAAAATGGCCTTTACATTTGCCGGCTTATTCTGCGAAGCAATCTGGCTGGCTGGCAGTGCAGGTGTTCAAGCGTAAGGGCTTCCTGTGGTTTAAGATTTGACAGACTCCAGTTGGTGCCCCTAGTTCTTTGACAGTGATGTGGCAACACTAAGTGGTTGCTGATGAACAGGTTTGCAGTGATCATGCCTCTGTTTTCTGTTTTTGTTTTTTGTTTTTATCTTTTCCTCAGGGGAAATCGCTCACATCAAAGAGGTTAACCAGTCTAGTGCAGTCCTACTAAAAGGATCACCTTGTAGCATGGAAGCAGACTCAAATCATTATACATACTTTGTAGCTCACTGATTGCCTGACTCAGAGGACAGTAGAACAAGATGTTGCATGAGCAAGGACCTGACTTGTTTTCTTTTGTGTATACTAAGGCATTACAGACTCCGAGGGACTCTCTAGCCTTTCGATGCCTCCATTTCGAAAACTGTCTGCTCACTTCCTCCTTCATATCAAGCTGGATCTGTGTCTTTTTATTTTCTGCAAGCTCAAGTACAGTGAAAAAAAAGCTTCTGCTAGGCACAGTTTATTAAAAAAATACGTCAATCAAAAACTGGAAGAAATGTAAAAAATGCATATATTAATAAATATACATATGGCATCACATTTATTGCACAATAAATTAGCACAGAAGGTTTCATTTCACTGATGTATTCACATTGAGAAAGAAAGCCTGTGTCTTTGTCTGTTGTCTGTATATTCTCTGTTAATGTTTCTTGCATTTATTTTTATACCATATTTAAAAAAGAACACCTTTTACTCCAGATGTATTAAAGTTGATCCTTTCTCTGTAAATTTGTGTATGTTTATATTGTTGTTTTATCTTTCATTAAAAGATGCAGAATCTCTTTCCTTTGGGAAGTTTGAGATTTTAATATTGAATCTGAAGATTAGTCAAGAGCACAATCATCCCCAAAAGTTACACACCTTGTGCTTTCTAAAAAGTGACATGAAATGGCATTTTCTTTCTCTCAGTGACACCTAATCAAACACACTTTATTGATGATCATTTACTTTTTATTTTCTTTTTGTCAAGCTAGCAGCAGAGAGACCTTTCCAGCTTGCTCATCATCACATAAGCAAACCTTTCTTTAAGCTAGACCCGTTCTGTAATAGTGCAGCCTGCACAGCGATTCAGTTGCTACCGAGGACCGGATCGACTGAACTGCATTTCCTTAGGAACGGACATGAACAAAGCTGGCTGAGAACACAAGCGTATACTTGCTAAATAGGAACGGCAGCGTTTCTTTCTCCTTGCTGTCACTTGTGATACAAGGCATCCCTTTAAGCTGAAAAGGTAGCGGTTTGGGAGTGCTAAGTATACTGTCTGTACAGCAAACCTTGGGTAGTAACGCAGGAGGCTGTCATTTTAATTCAAGGGCTCTATTCAGGTGCGCTGTGGTATGTCTACTGCTGAGGTTACTCATTCAGAGGCCTGTTGGCAGGTTTATGAGAGCATGTAGATGTTGCCCATGAGACAGCAGATATTGGAGCTTCTGAAGCTAAACTGAGCTGGAACCAGAACTCTCTGCTCGGCCTGAGAAACAGCACTTTTGGCTGATGACCTAAGGATAGTAGGCAGAATCTCTGAGTAGAAAAGCGATGATGCGAACTAAGTCAAACGACAAAATGCTGATACCTCCAGGGCATCATAGGGTGCATAGGACAAACAAGCCTTTTTAGCAATGCACAGGATAGACTCAGGACAGCCAACTCCAGTACCATCTGTCGTACTGACTTTGGATTGATATTGAGAAACAGGAATCTTGTTTCAAAGGGACTATCATCAAACCTAAAAATGCACACCCTCCCCCCCCCAAAGTGGGACAGTCATAGACACAATCAGACAATAAATTTGAACACATGAATGCTAGAGTCATCTCATTTAACATCGGATACCTACCTGAGTTGTTGCCGCTAGGGACAGGGCTCCCGAGCAGAGCAGCTGTGGGCAGAAGGAGCCGAGCTGCCTTCTGCAGGGAGCGCTCCCTTCTCCGCTGGCTCTGTCAGCAGCCTGGTGCAGCCCTAGCCCTGACCGCAGCGTCTCTAAAGAGGTAGTCTGAATGAACTCAGGACAAAGCGCATTGTAAATCACCATGCATGGCTGTTCCCCAGGTTTTGCTCAGCTCGGGTTTCTGGAGGTTTGGGATTTTTGTTTGTTCTTTGTTTTCACATGCCACTGTGTTTCTGGTTTCTAGCTAGGGTGATAATCGCTGCTTTAAAGTGTCTCAGTTTTTGTTAGCACAATTCTATCAGAAAACACTAGAAATGCGCCATGAGAGTTTGATTTTATCAAGAGCTCCATCTAGGTCAACTCAAAATATTCACAGTCTAGGGAGGAATTTTAATAAATAGCCACATTGAACCCCAGATCTTAAACTCTGAGATTTGATTTTCCTTTACCACAGAAATGCGAGCTCTGAGGCATGAACTTGGGGCCAGGCAATCCACAGAAATTTGAGCTCTGTTTCACTTCTCAGTGCCAAATAGAGATATTTATTTCCAAACTCCTGCTGCCACCAATTGCATCAGCTGGTATATTGCCTGCTTTGCCTTAGAAGTTAACTAATTAGATACCAGTGTCTGCTTTGAAGAATCACTCCCTTCAAATAACTAATGTTTCAAATTCATGCATTAGGTATTTCATGCAACTTTACCCTAAGAAATATTTTTTTTTTTTCCAAATCACTTTGCAACACCAACTGGCCAATAAAGATATGTGGAACATTTGTATTCCTGAACCCATTTTGTACTTATTCTAGTTCTTTCCTTTCAGTAAATATGAAGTCTCTATTGAATGGCTGTCTTGACCTGTATTTGCACAGGATTTAACGCAATGTCTGTAAAGTAAAAATATGCATTACTAACAAGGATTTCAACGTAGTCAGGGAGCTGTATTAAGGTTTCATTTGAGCTTAGTTTCAAGTGATGCAACTCCACTGTTACACGAGTGAATTTGACCTAAACAAAATCTGTCCTACAACCAGTCGATTTTTAAGGGTTTGTCTGCAATCTTTTGATACTTCACCTGATCACTGTCATCTGCCAGTGATATAATACTGGGACTGGAAAATCCAAGTAGGCACAGACTTCCTTTTACTTCCCCACAGAGAAAAGCTAAATGTTTGTTTCCAAATTTATATGAAGATCCACTTCCAAGAATTAAGATTAACTCAGATTAAGTCATGTTTGTACAACCACCAAACAACTGAAATGTGACTTTGGTTACACAATGATATACCCGTTAGGAATTTCAGTGAGGCCATGAGTCTGCTGAGGAAAAAAGGACCGAGAGAGAAATCTCAATCTGAAGGGGCCACATTTCTTGTCTCCTGGGGAAGAGTAATCAATCAGTGCCTCCTGGCCCTGCCCAGGAAGATGAAAACACCCTCTGTCGGAGGATATTAATTGTAATATTCATTAAAATAGCCACCTGGCGCTGGGAACTTCCATCTGAGAGTTGGGGTTCATCAGACAGTCTCTTTCCTCATGCATCCTTGTGCATAAAACAGCTCTTAAGCCTACAGGGGAAAGAAATGTTTGCTGGTGCTGCTGGTGCCTCGAGACAGTTTTGTGCTCCCAGACCAACCTGGGAAGGAAAATGGCCGGTGGGAGAGATGGCAGCTCCCCTGGCACCTACCTGACAACAGCAAAATATTCACCCATTTTTCTGTAAGGTGCAATTAAAAAATGTCCTTCAACCCTACAAAACTGAAGAGGGAGGAAAAAGGCCTCAAACAGTGACGAGAGAAATTGCAAAATGCTGAACTGAAACAGTAGTGGAGACTGGCCAAAAATTAATGAGCTGAAGGTGAATACAGGAGTAAGAAATGGGAATTAATTGTGGTGACAAGAACAGAAACAACAAGGGAGGAGAACTGGGGAACTGAGTAATTAAGAGCAAGAGAGGCTGAATGCAACTGGTAGATTGCCAGCCTGTTGGCCACGGCCATGCAGAGTTGGAATCAAAACCCAAAAAATCAGACAAGATCAACTGTGGCTCGCGCTTTAAAACCCAACGACATTTTTTCAGCTAGAAAGCAATTAATACAAAATAGCTAGAATTGTTTTTTTCAAATTGCACCCCTAATATTGAAATCGTGAGATATAAACACCAAATAGTCCCCCAAGAAATAACGAATAGGAGGGCAAAAACCAGTTCCAGAAAACAAGACCTATAGGAATGCATTTAGGATGTTTATTTATTAAAAAAAAAAAAAAAAAAAAGCCAAAGAAGACACCTAAAGTGAGGGAAGGCTGTTTCCTTTAAGTAACTGGAATGAGGAGTTGGGAACGACCAATGATTTATCTGTGGCTCTTCCAATTATTTATCTTTATGCCAAGTGATTAACAGCTGTTTGAATTTAGATTTTAAAATTGCCATATTTTTAATGTCCCTTCTAACTAGAGATGTTGTGCATAGAACTAACACTGGACTTACTAACTTAGGTGGATAAAACACAGGAATTTTGCTAAAAGAAAGTTAATAGCTATAGGGACCTATATAAAATAAGGTTTTAATCCCAAGAAGTTCAAGGGAAATGATCAACAATTTCTTTGAGCATATTCTGTGTCCACAATTCATTTAAGCAAGTTACTAAGTGATTGTGAATCATACCAATCTGCCTTTTGATCTGACTGTGCTGAACAGATTAATGCTTTTGTCTCCTGTGAGTTGAAGATAGGCTGAAGTCCCAATATCAAAGCGGCGGAGGGGAAGAGAGGACGATCTCTCTGAGGCCGGGCTCCCCCTCCTCGTGCTCTTCCAGACTGCGCAGTCCTCAAGTGACATGTGTACAAATAAATGGGTTTTGTTTGTACAGACATCAGCTTGAGGGCTGCAGGGTCTCTCCAGACAGTCATTATCTCTGCCACTACGAAGTGTTTTTCCTAATATCTAAACTAAATCTTCTTTGCTTCAATTTATCCCTTTATTTTTGACCAGGCTGCTATGATCACTATAATAAAATGTTCCCTACTTTTTCGCTCAAATACATAAATGGCCATTGCAACATTACAGCCTCCTTTGGTTTTCTTACTGGTGTTTTCTGAAGTGTTGAGTGAATTCATTGCTCTCCTCTGGGCTGGTGGGTGTTACAGCTGTCCTGGAGGACAGTGCCCAGAGCACCCAGGTTTTACAGGAGGAGGGCAGAGGATTACTGTCATACCTCTGTCTGCCCTTTTTGCAGTAGATGGCCACTACTGAATTGTGCCAGCTTATGTGGCACGGTGATGCCCAGATCCTTTGCAGTAAAGCATAGATGGTTGTTCCCCCGTAGCTGGCTCTTCTTGGGTCAGTGAGGCGTCTTCAGTTGTCCACTGAGTAGCACCCTTGGTCTTCAGACCATATTTCTCTTTTCCCCAGGTCACTTTTCTTTTTTGATTCTAACCTGTGAAATACTTGTAGTCCTTTTACCTGCGAGTATCTTTATGTGTGGATGAGAGTGAGGAATCTGCTGGCCTGATTCTTTAACACAAGTGCATGAATGAGAGTGAGTACCATCATCACTATTTGCCATAAGGGATCTGTATGTGAAAATTGTTAAGAGAAATTGCCATGACAATAAACTCTAGAAACTACTCAAATGCTAGATGATACTCCTTGTTTACAAGTGTGGACATGGGCAATAAATATCAAACAATATTAAGATAGAATTGTAAATGTTACCTTGTTAGTGGCATTTGCATGATTTTTATTGTACTTTTTCTTCACTCCCAAAATATATTCTGCTGCATTCACCTTCATTGGCTCTTTTTTTGATTTGACTAGATTTTGAAATCTCTCATTAGATTCATCACAGATGTCAGCTTTCAGAAGAGATACTATTTACTACCCTTCCTCTTAACC